GGTCTTTTTTTATTTTTAAAAAAATAAAAATAAAAAAAAATCTAAGAGTAAAATCATAAATTAACATGTCCACAGCAGAAGCTGATAATCAGAAGTAAGAGGTGAGCAGCTTCTCAAAATCACATTTTTTAAGTTAAAATAAGTTATTAGAATTAGAAGCTGTTTGAAATAAGTTTAACCAAACAGTCCAAAATAACTTTTCTAAAATTAGAAGCTATAAGTTGGCTCAAAAAAGCCCAAACAAATACCCTCTATGTATATAATCAAAACAATACATATTTTTATCAATCATTCCACAATGTAAAATTATTAATCATTCCACAATCCATATTACTTCCAACCATCCAAAAATGATTAACTTTAAATGTATATATTCCATACAAACCAACTATTGTCCAAACTAAAATTATATTTCCATACAAAAATTCAACCCTCCATATACAAAAAATATATTTACTACCATGCAATATGGTCATTTGGCATGGTACAAATTACCATCGTAGTCTGTGCCATGACAAAAGGTGATCTATGTGCCACGCCAGCAACTATCAGTTGGATTACAAAAGTTATATGCATCAGCAATACTAATCTACACAAAAGCAGAGGACTACATAGTTAGCAGGATTATATAAAAGTATATAAACTATCCACAAGTCCACGTTAAAAGCCATCTACAAAAAATAAAAACAAAATTGCACCCATTACAAAATATCAATTGATTCAAACATAAAAAAAAATGTTGTAATAACATGCATTTAAGATAGAACAATATATAAAAGCCTTTTTCAAAATACAATCATATTTACGTATCATGAAAGATTTATTCCAAACTTGATTTCAATTTACAAAAAATACAATTTTTAGGAGCATACCTCTTCATAAAATAAATGCTTATTGCTAGAATGTTTTTGTTATAAATTTGTTTTAACTCTTCTTCATTTCCATTTTCCTAGTCAAAGTAACAGGAAATAAATGTATCAACTAACGTAATTCCAACATTTTCCATAGGTGAGTGATTAAACTAACCTACTACTCCATTTAATCAATAAATTCATTAATTCCATGAATTCAACTAAATTCCCCAATTTTTCCTAAATTAATTATAAAAAAAAATCTAAGAGTAAAATCATAAATTAACATGTCCACAGCAGAAGCTGATAATCAGAAGTAAGAGGTGAGCAGCTTCTCAAAATCACATTTTTTAAGTTAAAATAAGTTATTAGAATTAGAAGCTGTTTGAAATAAGTTTAACCAAACAGTCCAAAATAACTTTTCTAAAATTAGAAGCTATAAGTTGGCTCAAAAAAGCCCAAACAAATACCCTCTATGTATATAATCAAAACAATACATATTTTTATCAATCATTCCACAATGTAAAATTATTAATCATTCCACAATCCATATTACTTCCAACCATCCAAAAATGATTAACTTTAAATGTATATATTCCATACAAACCAACTATTGTCCAAACTAAAATTATATTTCCATACAAAAATTCAACCCTCCATATACAAAAAATATATTTACTACCATGCAATATGGTCATTTGGCGTGGTACAAATTACCATCGTAGTCTGTGCCATGACAAAAGGTGATCTATGTGCCACGCCATCAACTATCAGTTGGATTACAAAAGTTATATGCATCAGTAATACTAATCTACACAAAAGCAGAGGACTACATAGTTAGCAGGATTATATAAAAGTATATAAACTATCCACAAGTCCACGTTAAAAGCCAGCTACAAAAAATAAAAACAAAATTGCACCCATTACAAAATATCAATTGATTCAAACATAAAAAAAAATGTTGTAATAACATGCATTTAAGGTAGAACAATATATAAAAGCCTTTTTCAAAATACAATCATATTTACGTATCATGAAAGATTTATTCCAAACTTGATTTCAATTTACAAAAAATACAATTTTTAGGAGCATACCTCTTCATAAAATAAATGCTTATTGCTAGAATGTTTTTGTTGTAAATTTGTTTTAACTCTTCTTCATTTCCATTTTCCTAGTCAAAGTAACATAACTGAGTAATCTACGGGGTTATCTCCATAACCATATCATGCTTTCTTAATACATTTACCACCCAAATGACCACCGTATATGACGAAACAATGACATCATGTACAATCAAAATGTTGAACATTTATTGGATGTCAAACTTTCTCTTTTTCGAATAAGTTTATGGAGTTTTGGCAGCAACTCACAACCTACTCATTCTAATTACATTTTGTCTATTTTCACAGGTCCTATTTGTCATGGGAAAGCTGGCCATGATATCCCTATGGTGGTTCTGAGGTTGTTTTGCATTTTCGCCCCCTCAACGTCATTTTTCAGTTAAGTTTTAGGCATTTTCGGCTCTAACTCCCAACCTACGTGTGCTAATGACATTCCGACTATTGTAACAGGTCCTATATGTCACGGGGAAGCTGTCTGTGGCATCCACATGATGGTTCTGGGGTTGTTTCACTTTTTCACTTTTTCGCACCCTTAACGCATTTTTTTTGTTAAGTTTAAGTCATTTTCGGCTATAACTCCCAACCTACACGTATTAGTTACATTCTATCAATTGTCACAAGCCCTATTTGTCATGGCGAAGGTGGCCATGGCATCCGTACGGTGGTTTGGGGGCTGTTTTGCATTTTTGCCCTTTCAATGCCCTTTTTCGGTTAAGTTTAATGCGTTTTTGGCTCTAACTCCCAACCTACGTGTGCTAATTGCATTCCATTTATTGTCACAGGTCCTATATATCACTAGAAAGCTAGCCGTAACATCCATATGGTGGTTCTGGGGCTGTTTCACATTTTCGCACCCTTAATGCCTTTTTTCGGTTAAGTTTAAGGCGTTTTCGGCTCTAACTCCTAACCTACACGTGCTAATTACATTATGTCAGTTGTCACATGTCTTATTTGTCACGAGAAAGTTGGTCGTGACAACCGTATAGTGGTTCAGGGGCCGTTTCGCAGTTTCGCCCCCTTATTGACTTTTTTCAGTTAAGTTTAATGCGTTTTCGGCTCTGACTCCTAACCTACGCCTGCTAATGACATTCCGTTTATTTTCACAGGTCCGACATGTCATAGGGAAGCTGGCTGTGACATCCATACTATGGTTCTAGGACTGTTTCACATTTTCGCATCCTTAATGCCCTTTTTCGGTTAAGTTTAAGGTGTTTTCGGCTCTAACTCCCAACCTACATGTGCTAATTACATTCTGTCTATTGCCACAGGTCCTATGTGTCATGGGAAAGTTGGCCATGACATTCATACGGTGGTTCAGGAGCTGTTTCGCAATTTTGAACCCTTAACACCCTTTTTCGGTTAAGTTTAATGCGTTTTCGGCTCTAACTCCCAACCTACACGTGCTAATTACATTCCGTCTATTGTCATAGGTCCTATTTGTCATGAGAAAGCTGGCCGTGACATTCATTCAGTGGTTCGGGGGCTGTTTCGTAGTTTCGTTCCCTTAACGCCCTTTTTTGGTTAAGTTTGATGCGTTTTCGGCTCTAACTCCCAACCTACACGTGCTAATTACATTACGTCTATTGTCATAGGTCCTACTTGTCACCGGGAAGTTGTCCATGACATCCGTATGGTGGTTCGGGAGCTGTTTTGCAGTTTCGCCCCCTTCACGCTCTTTTTTGGTTAAGTTTAAGGCACGCTAATTAAGGTGTTTTGCCACAGGTCCAACGTATTTTTTTTTTAATTTTTTTTTATAGGTTTATCATTTAACGGAATTCCATCATTGTGATAACAGGGGAAATTTACATCATTAAATATTCTCTCTGCTCCTCTCCTTTTTTACATAATTAATGATTTAGTTAACAAATTAATGTCACATTTCTTTTCTCCTCTTATTTGTATAATGTCAAAACAATTCCAAGTTCTCCAAAACAATATTGTCAATATGTGCAGTATTTTTGTAGAACTTTTACTATCATATGAATGAAATTCTTCTTACCAAATAGGACGATGAATCAAGTGCAGCCATACTACTTCTCGCCTATGTTTTGTGCCGTTCAAGCAATTGACACACGGAAAACGAATGTCATCCTATGGACCTAAATTCTGTAACGCCCTCAAAATCAACCCATTATATATATCATTGACATGCATTATTCATAGACAACAATTTATTAAACCATTCATCAGAGTATTACTAAACAAAAACATTACATGTAACATCGAATAAAATGCCCTACAGGCTTACATCTTTCCAAGCCAATCACTTGGATACAAAAATATGAGTTCTAACTCAATACAAGAAAAGCCCTAGGCTTGAATGTTTACATGTACTAATAAGTAAAGACAATTATCTAATGAAAGTCTTCTTCCAAATCCAGAAACCAAACCCTCACAAGCTAAGTCCCTGGAGGTAGCTTATCACCTGTACCTGAAAATGATGTTCCCATAAAGGGTGAGCCACAGCCCAGTAGAAATATACTAAACCACATATAAGCAATGAATAAAGCAATAGCATTCAACAGATGGTTAACCAAGATAATCAATTACTTCATTTTACAGCCTCATGACACTATTGTCCACGACTCGTTTTACTTTCCAATTTTATCAACATGACTCAGATCCTGGCCAAACTTACAACAGTGAATTATATATATATTGGCTATGTTACAGTTTGTATATGCATTTATCTCCAATCACTGTTTTCTTGTGTCTTCAGTTTTTTTTTTTTATGTACTTGTTTGGGAGTATTTGCTACTTAATGCCTGTTTGGTAGCACTTATTTTCAACTTAAATCAGCTTTTGGCTTAAATTGAGCTATTTTGGTGTGTTTGGTAGAACTTATAGAGATAGATTATAGCTTAAATTAATTGATTTTCAGCTAAAAAGCTGAAGCTGTTAATGGGGTGCTTAAATTTTTCAGTTTATGCGCGCAGCTAAAATAGAGGGGGCGTAATGATTTAAATGCCCCTCCAAAACTTCAAAAATTACCAAAATGCCAATATATAAACCCTTTTCTCTATTCAGACCTAACACTCTCCTCTCCTCTCCTCTCCTCTCACACGGTGCTTTCCTCTTCTCCTCTCATCTCCTCTCTGGTGAATGATGAACTGCCTCCACATCCAAGATCGCAGGCGATCGTTCACGAGGTCCCCTGTTTTCCATTGATCTGTACTAAAAAAGTAAGATTTCAAACCCTATGTTTATTATATATAGATATATATATACACACACACATCGATTTAGGGTTTGTATTTGTTTTTGGTTACTCTGTGAAATGGTGTGCATCCAATTAATGTGAAGCTTTCTCTTCTCGCTGTCTCTCTCTCTCTTTCACACATCACTATTTGAATGTTCAAAAAAACCCAGCAAGGACTGAGAATTATCTCCTTCGATGCTTCAATTCTGGCCTTCATTCATTAATTTCCCTTCTCTCTCTCTCTCTCTCTCTCTCAACAATGCTTTTCGTCTCTTATTTTCTCTCTCTAAAAGTGTTTGTACTTTCTATTTTATTTCATTTTTTTCTCTCTCTAGATAGATTTTGAAGATCTGTAGTTAGATTTTGTATGTAAGTAGTGTCTGTGTGTGAATTTAGCTGAAAGGCTAGGGTTTTTGCCTCATTTTAGTGATTTTTTATATTAAATAATTTTCATTTTTTCAAATAATTCAGGCTTGAAATTTTGAAAATTTTGCTTTCTTTTCCTTCATTTTCTCACTAACCAAACGGATCTTTTGTGTTTGTCTCTGCTTTTGTTCGTCTCTTTGCTCATTAGTTAGGTTGAGTTTAGGCATTTCTTTTGCTAACAAGTTTTGTTTGCAAGTGCAGTTGAGTGGTGCCTCTATTTTATTTGGGGATTTTCTTTTTATGTTTTCGAAAAGCTAAAAATTTCACCTCATTCATAAACCTTTTACTATGTTGTTATTTACTGGGAAGCCAATGATCCCTTTTAGTGACCAACTATAACTTTGGTCGCAGAAAACTATCTGTGACGAGGCTTTAGTGACCAACTCGCGACTAACATATTTTGGTCGCGAAAAGATTTTAGCGACCAAATATGGTACTTTTCGCGACCAAAACGTTGGTCGCGGAAAGTGTAATTTCTTGTAGTGTCTGTTTTCTGAATCTGCTTTGGACATCATTCATAAACCTTTTACTCTGTTGTTATTTACTGGGTTCAAGCTCACCGTGTTATTTATGTATGTAAGTGACTAGGTGCGTGATTAGGCCTAATTTGCTGCCTGGATCTGTTTTGTCAAGCCAACCACCGTGCCTCTCGAGGAGGTTCCCAAGTGTTTTAAGTTTTGTGAAATCAATGCCAACTTTATTCTCTTTTGTTTGTTGGACAAGTTTCTATATGTTTTATAAAGAAGGCTAAGTGCCATTTTGTTTTATCTGTGTATGGGTGACGTAAGATTGATGTAAATATGACGTCAAATATATATGTAAATCAAGTTAAAATTTTTTGTTTCCTATATGTCTACATAGCTTTATGGGTATTTTATTTTGATATTTGCTTTCGCTAGCCACTTAATTTTGTTAATCCGTTTCAGAGGCCTTCGGTAATCCTAGGATTATTGGACGGCTACGATGCTAAACCTATAGAGATGGATTTGGGTCGTGACAATGTGGCACCCAAACATTTCACATTCCTCACAAGAAGACCGATAGGGTTAACAACCAACGCTCTAATCACCTTACCCAAACACAGGGAACAACAACCACAAATCTTGCTTTCTTCGCCGGGAGACACTAGTCTCACTCTCTCGGAATAACATCCCTCAACAGGTCTCACCAATGCCATAAGACTCGAACGAGTCATACTACCCAAACCAAACACTGAAGGTAACATAACGCCACTATCAACCCTCCTAGAACCAATCACAACAACACACTAACTCTACAACCAAACTAGGATTTCTAATTCCCACAACACTTCTCAAGTCATGAGGTTTCAACATCATATACATACCCAAATCGTTTGGACAACAGACAAGCATAAGTACATAACACACGTAGGCACAAAACTCCTACACACAACTCATGCCCATATTAGGGGCAATGACACCAAACAACACTCGACTGCTCACAACTGAAACAAAAACAATAATTCTCTACCGTATATCTAGCTTTGTGCCGGATACCAAGAACTCTTTCCTTCGGTTGCCTCTCACCAGGTCAAGTATTCTCAAGCAATAGGAACCGGCGATATGGCCTCATCCTTTTTTTTTTTTTCATTCTCATGCGTCATCATTGATCGGTACTTAAATGTTACTCATTTAACTTGTTAATAGACACTTTATTAGTCTAATTATTTATATTATTTTATAATTTGGTGTGATTTTGTGTGTTTGTACATGTTTCGAGTGTTTGTACATAAATTATTATGAATAACATATTTTAATATTATATTAGTAATATACAATAAAATAATAAAGTATAATAAAGCATTTCAGTGGAGACACCATCATTCTCCCACCCCATTATTGACTATCTTTTCTTTTGTTTATTTTAATTGCTTTACTTTACTTTTCTTTCTTTATTTAATTGTTTGCCTTGCAGATTGGTATCTTTGATATATTTAATTTGTATGCTTTGCAGGTGCTGTCGGAATTGGCATTAGGAAGTTGCCTATAAAAGGCAACAAGAGTTCAAGCTCGGAGGGGAGGAAGAGGGAGGAAGAGCAGAATTCGGCTGGGGAGTGAAGAGCAGGTATGTTATTTTCTGCCTTAATTTGTAAGTTTTGTTTTTATGTTTGAATCATTATGAGTAGTTAAATTTTCTGCCAAGGCTAAGGATTAAACCTCTTGTATTGTAATAATTAAATAGTTAATCTGATTGTATTTCCTAAAATTATGGTTTTATTGATAAATTGCTCTTGCCTCTGTTTTAATTAATTTAGTAAATTTTGGATATGGATTTAATCAGGATTTGAAGTTTACTAATTAATTTATGTGCCTAGCTCTTTATTTTATTAAAATCAAATATTGGATATCTATTGTGATTTGTTACGAGTGGATACATTGGATGATTTAATTTTGAACAATAAGGCGAGGAAGAACATATACAAGATTATTATTTTGATTGAATTAAACTATGATATTTTGCATAATAATTGAGATTGAATTCTAAATTATTGTGTAGAGAATTAAGGAAATAAATCAGATTATTCTATTTGATTATTATTTATATTTGAGTGTCGATTCTCAAACCTTGGTTTCATTTACCTGGTTAATTTATCAATTTCAGTTTAGTATTTATTTGTGTTTTGCATAATTAAATTTAAAATCACCAATTTTAAGATTTGTTAACTAGGTTGGGCTTATTTAAATTGAAGTTAATTAATTTTTCAAAAAGTCAGTTGTGGGTTCAACCTCACACTCAATTAACTATACTATTGTACAGTTCATGCGCTTGCCAATACATTTAAAATTTCACAAGAAGTTTTTGGCGCCGTTGCGAGGACTTTAATAAAAGTGATTAAAATTGAATTATGATATACCCTTCTACTAGTTATAAATAGGATTAATTAGTTTAAAAAAATCAAAATCAAAACAGGGGCCTGTGAACCTTACTTATTTTTTAAAAAATTTCTACTGTTTGATATCTGTCCGGTTTTAAAAAAAAAATTAAAAAAAAAATAAAAATAAAATTGTTGGCTGCGTCGTCTGGGTGCTTTGTGGCTTGTTGGTTTTGAAAAATATATATATATATATATTATATAATTAGAATTAGTAGTTTGTGTTTGTGAGCTTGTTTCTTTAAACTGTCTTATTTGCTTATTTCTGTTTTTAGTGCCTGTTAAATCATTTTGTTACATAACTTATATAGTGTAGTATAATTTAGTCATTTGTTGTAGGTTCCCCTATCAGCCTAAGTTAGAAAAATTTAGACAAATATTCCTGTTTTATTTTATTTTTAGGATCACTTTCCATTATTAAGCATTGTATATAAATAAAATCTCATAAGGTGATTAGTGCATTCTTGGTCCTAAATGGAAGAAATTAGTGTTACCCAAAATGAGGGATAATATCGAAAATGCTAATGAATCAAAGGTTCTTAAAGACTTATTGTCACCAATAACCACTAATCCTCCTTCGTGTATAGTGTTACCCACAACAAATGCAACACATTTCGAATTAAAACCTCATATAATCCAACTTCTTCCAATTTTTCATGGGTTAGAAAGAGAGGATCCTTACATGCATGTAAAAGTTTTTCTCGAAATTTGTTCAACTTTTAAGATTTCAAAATTTTTCTGAAGAGTGTTAAACTACGCCTTTTTCCCTTTTCTTTGAAGGATAAGGCGAAAGCATGGTTAAATTTTCTACCCTCTGGTTCAGTCACTTCATGGGAGTTTCTAGTAAAAAAAATCTCTCTAAATTTTTTCCAATGGCAAAAACTAATGCTTTAAGAAGAGAAATTTCTGATTTTTCACAAACTGAACATGAAAAATTTTATGAAAGTTGGGAACGATTTAAAGTCTTAACTTTAAAATGTTCCCACCATAGTTTTGAAATATGGAGACTTGTGCAATATTTTTATAACGGTTTGACTCACTCTCATCGAAACATGATTGAATCTATGAATGGTGGAGGTTTCTTAAAGTCTTAGAGATGATGCGGCCTATGAGTTCCTCGAAAAATTATCTGAGGGCTCCCTACAATGGGATTTCACTTTTAATAGGGATAAATCTGATTTGTCATCTAAGAGAGGAGGATTATATGGAGCCAAAGATGATTCTCAACTTAGGATGAAATTAGATAATGAACTTAGGTTTCTTTGTCACAACACTTACAATCTCACAATCAATTTTCACCAGGGTTCCGTCCTCCAACCCAAACATTTCCTAATCAGCCTTATGTTAATCAACCCTGTCTCTCAATTTAATTTTCAATGTGTTGCACCAGAACAACAAAATTCATCTTTAGAAGATACATTGAATGCATTTATACAAATAACTTGCCAATCTATAGCTGAGATTAAAAATTCCACTCATTTGAACACACAAGCCATTTCTAAACTAGAAAATCAAATGGGCCGCCAGTTAGCCAACCAAATATCTGAGAGAGAAAAAGGTAAGCTTCCTGGTAAACCTATACCTAATCCAAAACGGCAATTTTCCATAAATTCACCTGAATCTTCCCAGCAAGAACAGGTTCAATCTATTGTTACCCTTAGGTCAGGAAAACAGGTAGACAACCAAGTGCACATGCCAGTAGAGGAGATGCCAACAGAACTAGACAGAAAAAAACAAGGAAGTTGTTAAAGCTCAAGAACCTTCTACTTCACAACCTACTGAAACAAAACCTCAAGTTGGGAGTTATATTCCTAAAGCTCCTTTTCCCTAAAGACTAGTAGGTTCTAAGAAAGGTCCACTACTAGGAGAGGTTCTAGAAATATTTAAGCAAGTCCAAATTAATATTCCATTTCTAGATGCTATTCAACAAGTACCTGCCTACGCCAAATTTTTAGAAGTTGTGACTGTGAAAAGAAAGACAAACGTTCCTAAAAAGGCATTTTTAGCAGAACAAGATAGGTCCATTATTCAACGAAATGTACCTATCAAGTATAAGGATCCTGGCTGTCCCACAATTTCTCGTATGATAGGTGACCACCATATTAAGCAAGTATATTTGGGGGCTAGTGTCAACTTAGTTCCATATTCTGTCTATTTGCAATTTGGTTTAGGAGAGCTAAAACCCACCCTTGTGACACTGCAATTAGCTGATAGATCAGTTAAAATTACTAGAGGTATCATTGAGGATGTTTTAATCCATGTTGAAAAATTTTATTTTCCAGTAGACTTCATAGTTCTAGATTCTCAGCCTGTCCACAACTCAAATAATCAAATTCCTATTATTCTAGGACGCCCATTTTTAGCTACCTCTAATGCTTTAATAAACTGTAGGAATGGTGTTATGAAAATTTCATTTGGTAATATGACAGTTTAGCTTAATATTTTCAATATTACTAGACAATCACCAATTGAAGAAGAAGCTAGTACTGTGTGCCTGATTGATAGTCTTGTCAGGATAAATTCATTGAATCTAGTTATGAAGATCCTTTAGAGGCGTGCCTAGCTCATTTTGGATGTAATTTTGAAATTGATGAGTCAATTGAGCAAGTTAACATACTTTTGGATTCTACTCCAGTAATGAACCTCAATGAATGGCAACCTAAACTGGAATTGAACACCATCACTTCCATCCATAGTGGAGCTTCCTAAACTGGAATTGAACACCATCACTTCCCTCTTTCAATTTCTTCAACACCATCACTTCCATCCATAGTGGAGCTTCCTAAACTGGAATTGAAACCATTACCTAATACCCTTAAATATGCATTCCTTGGTCCTTCAGAGTCTTTCCTAGTAATTATAGCTTCTGATTTGGAAGATGCTCATGAACAAAAATTACTTGAGGTCTTAAAAGAACGTAAGGAAGCAATAGGTGGTCCATTAATGACATTAAGAGAATCAGTCCTTCTATTGTCATGCATAGAATTCATTTAGGAGAGGATGCTAAACCTTCACGGGAACCACAAAGACGCCTAAATCCTCCCATGCAAGAAGTAGTTAGGGCTGAAGTTCTTAAACTCTTTGATGCAGGTATAATCTATCCAATTGCTGATAATACTTAGGTAAGTCCTGTTCAAGTTGTACCCAAAAAATCTAGTGTTACAGTAGTAAAAGATGAGAATAATGAATTGGTTCCAACTCGTGTGCAAACAAGGTGGTGTGTTTGCATTGATTACCGAAAGCTAAATTCCATGACATGAAAAGATCATTTTCCTCTTCCATTCATAGATCAAATGTTGGAAAAGTTAGTAGGTCATGCTTAATATTGTTTTTTTGATGGTTACTCTACTTATAATCAAATTCCTATTACATTCACCTATCGGCGCATGCCTTTTGGGCTGTGCAATGCACCTGCCACTTTCCAGTGCTGCATGATTAACATTTTCTCTGACATGGTTGAACGTTTTCTAGAAGTTTTTCTGGATGATTTCTCAGTTTTCAAAAATTCTTTTGATAAATATTTGCACCATCTTATGTTAGTACTAGCTTGATGTAAAGAAAAGAATCTTGTACTTAACTGGGAAAAGTGTCATTTTATGGTAAAAAGAGGAATTGTACTTGGACAATGTCGCTAATTCTTTTTGTGACGTTTAGTACCAAACGCCGACAACGCGGCCGTCACTATAACTTTATGACGTTTAGAAAACATCGCTAAATATCCTATCCTAACGGTACTATGACGTCACTATAGTTTTAGCGACGCTTTTAAAATGCCGTCGGTGTCAGATAAGGGTATTGAGGTTGATAAAGCTAAAATTGATTTAATTTCCAATCTTTCACATCTGAAAACTGCACGCAGGATTTTATAGAAGATTCATCAAGGATTTTAGAAGATATTGTGGCCCTTGTGTAGTTTGCTTTCCAAAGATGCACCATTTGTAATTGATGACAAGTGCCTTCAAGCTTTTGAAAAATTGAAATCTGAATTAACTTCTGTACCTATAATTAGATCACCTGATTGGAGTCAAACATTTGAAATTATGTATGACGCATCTAACTATGCAATTAGTGCTATTTTAGGGCAATGAATTGATAAACTCCCTCATATAATTTATTATGCTAGTAAGACACTAAATGATGCACAACTCAATTATTCCACCATAGAAAAAGAGTTATTAGCAATTGTTTTTTTCATGGAAAAATTTCGTTTTTATATACTAGGGTCTAAAGTCATAGTCTACTCCGACCATGCTACACTAAAATATTTAATAAGATGCCAAATCTCGTCTTATTCGTTGCATATTGCTTTTACAAGAATTTGAAATTGAAATTAGTGGTTCAAGCATATCATTTTGAGGGGTTGAGTTTAGTGTTTCAGCATGTTATATAATGATCAATTGAGCCAGAATGCTACTGACATTCTAATTGGGGGTCCCTTTTTGGTCAAAAGTGCAGATTTAGTTCAAGGTCAACCAGTGTTAGTTTCTCTTCCACCAGTAGCTAGAAGAAGACGGGTTAGATCATTGCAGTCAGTTCGGAGCACCTCTCAGATCATCTCCACTCAGTTCCTTGGTTGCTAATTCATCAGATTCTGTGATGGCTCAAAATCCAATAGACATAGCGGACATGCTTATGTCCCTTCAGCGGAGTATAGAAGCTCTTAACCACACAGTTGCAGCCCAAGCTGAAACCATCGCCAGATTGCAGCACTTATCTGGGGCCTCTACTACTCATCCACCTCCAGTCAACCATCCAGTTCTAAATCCACCTCCGCCAATTAAGGACCCTCAAGGTCTAAACCTACCAGAAGATCTCAGGGATTCAGTACAGCCAGTTGAAGGAATTCCATTACAGCTAGTTGGAGGGTTTCTGGTACAACCATTTGAAGGACTTTTTTCCGTTGATCCTAATGATGACTTAGCTATGCTAAAGCTAGCCAAGCTAAAGAAATTATTCAAAAACTCACAGGGTATCAACTCTATCCCGGACATCGAAGACAGATATACTGAAACTGTTGTAAGATTGCCTGAGAGGTTCAAAATGCCACATGTAGACCGGTTTGATGGATCTGGGGACCCTATGGTGCATATCTGCCTCTTCTTGAATGTTGTAAAACCAATGGACTTAACTCGAGCCCAAAAGTTGTCTTTGTTTGGGAGGACTCTGTCAGGTGTAGCTGTCATCTGGTACTCTAAGTTAGAGGAATCAGTGAAACAGAGTTGGGAGGAGTTAGCTAAGACATTCATTACTCAATACTCCTACAACATGCAGATCGAGATAACTACGGGAGAGTTAGAGGCAACTCGTCAAGAGCCCAATGAGAGTTTTGTGGCTTTCATCACCAGATGGAGGGCGAAAGCGGCCATGATGACAAACAGGCCCCTAGAGAAAGATCAAGTCCGTATGGTTGTGAGAAATCTGCATAGAAAGATGTTGCAGAAAATGATAGTTCTCCCTCTCTTCAACTTCAAGGACCTGTATGAGATTGGGGTTCAAGTTGAGGATGCCATCAAACAGGGGATCATTGTATAAGGAAATGAGCCCATGAGAAAGCCATCATTCGTAGTTTGAATGTTGCTCCTAGTAGTAGCACAGCTGGTAATGCCAAACCCACAGAAATCAATATAGTCACTATAACAACCCTAATTCTTATCTTAGTCATGCTCATATAAATTTACATGATTTGGTCTTGTTAAGTTTGTATCTGCAGACTTTGATTTGATTTGTCTAAGTAAAGGTTTCTGTTTTGTTTTGTGCTATTGTATTTTGTTCCTTGTTCCTTGTTCCTTGTTTTGTGTCATATTCATGTTTTGTTCTTTGTTTTGTGTGTTGAACCTAGGCCATCTATCTGTGCTACCTCATATCTAGGTCACACCTTTGAACCTATTACACCTAGACCATTGTGATACATATGAATGTATAATATACATATAAATGAATATGTATGTATAATATGATATATAAATTATATATATAATTCAAATACTATATAGAAATGATCTCTAATAGAATAAAGATATTTTTTAAATAGAAAATAAAAATAGAATGTAAAATGGTAAAATAATGTGATACATATCTTTTACATTGGAGGACTATTTTATTTATAAAATAATATATATAATTTAAAAATATTAATGATAAATAGAATTTTTCACGGAGCTATCTTTTCCTAATTTCAACTGTTGAGTACACGTGCCTGAACAATTTTTGAAAGACGAAAAATTTAATTGAAATTGAAATTGTTTTAAATGTTAACAACCTCCACGCGTAGCACATGGGGGTCCCGTCCGTTTCTGTTGACAGAAAATAATTCAGTACAAAAATATTTAATTTAGTATGTACTTATTACGTTGTTCCTCTTTGTAAGCATTTTCTCCCAAAACGAATAGGATGAAAAATTTCATTTCAACAAACTCTTTTAATTTATAAATTATCGCAAGTGAAGAAAACACGTAATGGAAAACAGATTCTCCTCTGAAATAGATCTTGTAAATATAGGTATTTGTCTAATAACTAAATAAAAGATGAGATGATAGATGAAATGATAGAAATTAGTAAATTAATAACTTGTAAGAATGTTGGAGTAGACATCCTATTTTGATTAGTTCGAAGATTTGGACGTTTTCATTTGATCACCCGATGATGCAAATAAGAATATGTCATCTCACAAAATTCTCAGTAGAAAGATGAAATTTAAGCTTTAATTTCAATCTACACTTGTTTTGGTCAAATTGTTTTAGACCTGTTTTGGCCAAATTATGTTACAGCCTCTTAAAATATATTTTATTAATCTATTTATTTGTATTATTTTATAATTTTACATGTTTTTTTAATATTTTGACTATCTCGAGTCATGGGTTTCCTAATTTTTTCAAAATATTAGGTGGCGACTTTGAGATCTGGTGATGTAGTCCATTTTTGGCAAAGGTTTTGTAACAAAATGGATTTTCTATAAAAATTGCCGGATTTGGACTCTCATTTATGTTTCACATTGCACTCGTGAAATTAGATCAAAGAAATCGACGATCCAAACTGTTTAGTGCTGGGGTAACCCCCGAGCGATGTTACAATTTGTCTTCAAAAGCAGTCAATTTTGGTTGGTTTATGAAAATTATCCCCTATAAAAGGGGCAGAGGAAAATTTCGTTTTGGGAGAAGGGAGAAAGTTTTGCGTTCAAAGAGAAAAAAAAATGAAAAAAAGAAATTTTGTTTTTCAAAAAAGAATTTTAAGAGAGAAGAACTGCTCTTCAAAGTCGAATTTTTTAGCCAACTTGTTTCTCCATTCTCTTCATTGTCTCTTCTCTAATACCCCATCCAAACACCATCCAAAAAAATATCATCAAAGTTAAAATTACAAATTTTGGACAAAGAATTGAGAACACATTTCACAATAATCAAAAGAAAGTTTGTGACTCAGAAAATTCATCATTTCCTCAAAATGTGAATTTATGCAAACTTTCATTTAATTTAAAATGTGATATAACTTTTTTAAATACTTCCTTTACTGCTTTTCATAACTAGTTTTATTGCTTTAAAGGGAAGGTTGCACCACACACATATCTGTTATAATTTACTTTTTTATTTTATATTTTTTTTATATAACTGTTTTACCGTTTTAAGGGAATACTACGCTACCCACATATTTGTTATACATAAACTGTTATAATTTATTGTTTTAAATAAACTATTGTAATTTGCCGCTTTGAATGCTCGGCGCTACACCGCCTACATAAACGGTTGTAATTTACTACTTTAAATGGTTGGTCAAAACTAGCTAATTTGTTAAAAATATGACCCTGCCGAATGAATAGTGACCAGTAGTGGTGAATAGTAATCTTCGGCGATGAAAAGTAACCCCGACAATGAATAGTACCTCCTGTGATGAATAGTAACTGCGGATAAAAAAATATCCGGTGAGATGAATAATGACCAAGGAGTGTGAATAGTAGCTGCCGGCGATGAATAGTACTCCGTTGGATAAAGAGTGCTCCCACAAAATAAGTTTTCCAGGTAAAACAGAGCAATCTTCCAGCAACAAGCAGAATCATTTCTGGCAGTTGATCTCCAAGGCATTTTTCTATTTTTTTTTTTTTTAAATTTGAGATATTTGTGAGGTTTTATTTATGTTGCAATAATCTCTTCTCTCTCCCTTGTCTTTTATTTGGTCTTGTAATTATTTAGTGATGTAATAATTCCCCACCCCCATTTCTTTCTATCATTTTCATTTACTCGACATATCTATAAATAAGCATCGTGTTTTATTTTTCATCATACCCGTGCTTTACATCCATATTTCATGCATCAAGATTCGGCTCATTTGCATCTGTGAATTTAACTAATTTTTTACGTGATTATGTGTGCTACCTCATGTTTTTGAAATGTTTCACATGTCATGTTTTAGTAGCTAGATCTCTAGTCGCATTTTGTGTATGTATTACATTAGGATTTTTGTATATAAGATTATGCATATTTTCTAATTTTGTTTTTTAGGTGTTCGCGGGACGCTAATAAATATGTGAGTGTTTATACTTTAACATCTCAATTCTGTATATTTTTCTTATTATGTTTAGTATACCACTATGTTGCTATTTTCTTAAGTGATATATTCTATGAGTGCTAGTGGATTCAACGGCCTTTTTCTTTATTGGAATGGGCTAACTCCAACCAAGGCCCAAAACCTTAGGCCGAAGCCATGCCCAACAAACTTGGCTGAGAGACAGGCTAATGGGCCATCTACTAAGCCCAACAAACGTATATTTGAGTCTCCTTTTTGTTCTTTTTGTACTTTTTTTTCCTCTTTATTCTTCCTACTTTCTGTCAAGCTTAAGGAAGTTGATGGGTCAAGCCAGTCATTCCAAAATGAATGACACAGTATATACTTATTTGCTTCATATAGTAATTTTAACATTTATTAAATAATCGGAACGTGAACATATAAAGTCAATAAAATTCATATCATGGTTTAGTAGAGACCGATCTATTGATCGGGTAAGCGGTGATGCTCAATTAATGACTTTCCTCCTCATACCTAAGGTTTTAAACTGAGATATCTCTGGTTATGACAAACAGTGGTCTTGACACGAGTCATGGGTTTCCTAATTTTTTCAAAATATTAGGTGGCGACTTTGAGATCTGGTGATGTAGTCCATTTTTGGCAAAGGTTTTGTAACAAAATGGATTTTCTATAAAAATTGCCGGATTTGGACTCTCATTTATGTTTCACATTGCACTCGTGAAATTAGATCAAAGAAATCGACGATCCAAACTGTTTAGTGCTGGGGTAACCCCCGAGCGATGTTACAATTTGTCTTCAAAAGCAGTCAATAGTTCATCCCCGCAATTTAAAAGTTAGATCTGAAGTAGTAAGCAAAAACGAAAACCAGTGGTGAAGCTCATGCAAATCTCAATGTTCCTCCCTCCTGGATCTTATGTGCATATATGCTCATTCATTAGCTCTCAGGACAAAGGTTGTTGGATCATTCAAGTGAAGAATTACAGTCATAGTGTTATATTTATTAAGAACGATATGCAAATTAATACATAAATAAAAGTATATTCAATAAAACTCATTTTTCAATAAACAAATAAACAAATCATCATCAAATGTCACATATTGTTTCTTTACTCCAAAATGTCAGTTACTCACTAAAGCTTGATTCCATATCTTTTGGTCTTAGTTACAACAAAATCCATCTAACCCGTTTAAACCAACAAAAGAAATATGAGGGATAAGAACACAACACCACTAAAAAATAATAAGCTCTCTTTTATGGAAATATCATCAAACACACGGTGTACAAAGTTTTTGCATACTAACAAACACCAAGACATAACATTGGCAAACCCAAAATTAGTTTAACAGATTGTGTGTGCCTATAATTTAGTGAGTCACTATTTCATAATATTTATTTGATATTTTCAATTAATTACATTGTAAAAATATTTACGAGTAAGCTATGACAGACTTAGAACAAGTTTGGAATTAGCCTAAAAAAGTCATATTTTTTCTGAAAATAAAAGGTAAATATATATATACACATATATATGTATAATGGGAAAAAAAGTCTGAAGAGAAAACAAAAAGGTAGTAAAAAAAATTACGAGCGGATATGAAGTAACTACCTTTATCAAGTAACTGAGAGGAAAAGATGACTAACTTAGATTGAGTTTGAAATAAGCTTAAAAACACCACATTTTCTTCTCAATTTTGTTATCATTAGTGATTTGTTTATTTCAAATTTGTGTAAAGAAATTTTGCTATTCAAGTATGTCTAGTGTAGAAGGATCTAAAAAATATATATAATGAAAAAAAAATTCACTAAAAACATATATATATATATATATATATATATTGAATTTAGTGATTATTTTATTTATAAAAATATGGAAGGAGGAGATTTGGACGGAGGCGTGAATGGTCTAGTCTAGGTAAACTTGTAATACAGTTGAAAGTAGAGGGCTATATTTGATGAAGGCAATGTTAGACTCAACTTAAGGTTTAGGATGCTTCTATTTACACACCACATTTGGTCTCAAGGAACACCATTACTCAGTTCACACCTTTAATAATTTGAAAAAACATAATTTTTCTCAACACACACCACAACATTTCATTTTTACCTTTAGTCTCACATCACTTAGTACACACCTCAAATTCAAAAAAAAAAAAAAAAAAAAAACCAACTGTTAGACACTTTGATCATTTTAGGGTTAGGGTTTGGAAGTGTATTCAAGCATGCTTTACAGCTGCAAGTTCTACA